AAGTGAGGAATGAATCATTCATTGATTCAAACCCATGAAATTATTTATGAAGCATTCATTTAAAATATAATCTATGAAGGGGAGACTGAAGCATTCATTGAGAAATAATTTGTTAAGTGCAGACTGAATCATTCGTTGATTAATCACATGTGAAGGGGGAGATAGTACCATATATTGTGACCCTGAATCGCTAATCGCTGGGGTAAGGGAGGAAGACGAGAGAAGATTGGGGACGGTGAGGGATTGGAGAGAATGGGAGAGAAGTAGATAGGGAAAGGAACGGTGGGATATCTCCACTATCCCTATGAGAGATAATGATATACTCATCGTCGTGAAAATTGGGGTATATATATCGTAGGCTTTGAATGTTGATCTGAGGTTCACATGGTGCTTAGAGACTCACGGCGTTCATCAGCTCCCATGGTGCTCAGCTCCCATGGTGCTCAGTTACCATGGTGCTCAGTTACCATGGTGCTCAGCTCCCATGGTGCTCAGTTACCATGGTGCTCAGCTCCCATGGTGCTCAGCTCCCATGGTGCTCAGTTCCCATGGTGCTCAGTTACCATGGTGCTCAGTTACCATGGTGCTCAGTTACCATGGTGCTCAGCTCCCATGGTGCTCAGTTACCATGGTGCTCAGCTCCCATGGTGCTCAGTTCCCATGGTGCTCAGCTCCCATGGTGCTCAGTTCCCATGGTGCTCAGTTACCATGGTGCTCAGTTACCATGGTGCTCAGTTACCATGGTGCTCAGCTCCCATGGTGCTCAGTTACCATGGTGCTCAGTTACCATGGTGCTCAGCTCCCATGGTGCTCAGTTACCATGGTGCTCAGCTCCCATGGTGCTCAGTTCTGCTCAAGTGTTTCTTTTGTTTCTGATTTGTACGTCTCTCTCTCTCTCTCTCTCTCTCTCTCTCTCTCTCTCTCTCTCTCTCTCTCTCTCTCTCTCTCTCTCTCTCTCTCTAAAAACGAGAAAATATAAACATTATCCTTTATTTTCCTCTTTTCAGCACCTCACACCCAAAAAATTGCCCCAGACGCCAAGAGACACGTCACAAAGAGCCCTGCCACGCTGGCTCCAATAAAGTCGATCTGCCACAGCCATTACCAGAGGAAATGAACTAAGCGGGCGCCAGTTGGAAGACACTTTCCGGCAAGTCAAGCCAATTGAATTAAAAGCGCTATGCTTCTCTCTCTCTCTTGTACCCCCACTCCCTCTCTCCACCCACCCTCTTACCCTTCCCTTTTCTTCCCTTTTCTTCCCTTTTTCCCCATTTCCCTCCATCTTCTCCTCTGTCTCTCTTTCTCTTGTCTTCTCCCTTCACAATCTCTTCTTCTTTAGTGCAATTTGATGCAGTTCTGGATACAAATTCTGTTTCTGAAACATTTTTTTGCTTCTCTCCCATTTTCTGTGAAGCTAATTCGGATAACCTTAATTTCGTTGTCAGTATAGAGTGAATCGGTTCAACATTATGTTACTTTTAATGGCTGTGTGTGCTGAAGAGAGTTGGTGAGAGTTGGTGAGGTGAGTTAGGGAGCCGGTCGGCCGAGCGGACAGCACGCTGGGCTTGTGATTCTGTGGTCCAGGGTTCTATCCCGGGCACCGGCGAGAAACAATGGGCAGAGTTTCTTTCACCCTATGCCCCTGTTACCTAGCAGTAAAATAGGTACCTGGGTGCTAGTCAGTTGTCACGGGCTGCTTCCTGGGGGTGGAGGCCTGGTCGAGGACCGGGCCGCGGGGACACTAAAGCCCCGAAATGATATCAAGATATCAAGATAACCTCAAGGTGGTGTACGCAAGTGCAATCTGCTCGTAGAAGAAGAAGAGTACAACTGGTACACCATCAGAGGAATACGGATACGAGCAATTAATTTTTCGTGCATTTTCAAACGAAGGTTCATTTTGTCATTTGTCTGAAGATTTACAGATTACATAACTTACAATTACAGACTTAGTACAGGAATAGTGTTATGAGGATATATGATATTGCTCTGGGTGTTATAAAGAGAGCTAAATCTTGATTCTGAATTACGTTAATTCACACACAACAACCGAACATCATCAGCGGCATATGGAAGCGTGGCAAAAATATTAAGATTTCTGAAGGCAATTGCCTCCAGAAATCATTAATTATGGGTCGTATAGGAACCTACAAAACACCTCAAACCAATTTTGGAGGTGTGGTTAGCAAGAGTTGAAGCCCAACCACAATAAACACAGCTAGGTTACTACACACACACACACACACACACCACACACACACACACACACACACACACACACACACACACACACTCACACACACACACACACACACACACACACACACACACACACACACACTCCATTACCTCCATACACAAGATTAATGACATAACTGAATTTGTAAATTGGATCAAAGTTCCCTGGCTGAACAGGGAACATATAGAGAGCTAAGAGATTGGTCAAATGAAGTAGATAATTGAGAGAGAGAGAGAGAGAGAGAGAGAGAGAGAGAGAGAGAGAGAGAGAGAGAGAGAGAGAGAGAGAGAGCTTAGAGGAGAGATGAGAGAGAGACGACAGAGACAGAGAGAGTCAGAGAGAAGACAGATAGAGACAGGGAGAGAAAAACGCAAGTGACAAAAGAAAAATAAGATACTATTAAGAAAGGGTGACCCATGTAATCTCGGGAGAGCAAATTAGCCAAGCATCCCAAGACAAGAATCCCTAGACAGCGGACAACCACAATCCAACTTCTCCGAATGTGTTCCATGGCATTATCCCAGTCTGAAGGCTCGCCTCGCTTCCCAAACAACGCTAATTCTTTGAGTGTTTACTAGAGTATCCTGAAGGACCCTTCGTCGTCTCCTCCTTCAGAGACAATAAGGGCAAGGCAGGATATGGTATTTATGAAGGGGAAACGCTAAGAAAATAGGACTCCATAGCACTTTGAGGGGATCTGACGACAATGAACTGGGATATGAGGAAGAGGAGCTGGGATATGAGGATAAGGAGTCGAATATCAGGATAAGAAGCTGGGATATGAGGAAAAGGAGCTGGGATATGAGGATAAGGAGTCGAATATCAGGATAAGAAGCTGGGATATGAGGAAAAGGAGCTGGGATATGAGGAGGGAGTAAAGGAACAAGTTTAAAGATTCACCAAAGATATATTTTCTGGAATTATTTAAATTATTTATCAATTATTTTAAAATGAACTTCCTTCGTAATAAATGATAAGGAAATATTTTGTTTATCTATTTCCTTTCTTTTAATATAATAATATGCTCATATAAAATTAAGTTAAAGGTAGTTAAAATTACTTAACATTAAGTTATTTAAATTTATTTACTTAATTTAAGTAAGTAATTTTAAATTATGTAAGGAGTTTGAAAGCACATTTACCTATGCCCTCCTTCCCTCCTTCTCTCCCCCCCCCCCCCACCTCTCTTGTTTTCTGACTAGCACGAATCAGTTGCAATTTCTTGAATGGTTACTCTCGGGGATTATTGCATACTGATTTGGCTCAATGTTGTTCTGACTGTCTGTGGTACACTGTAGAGACTATGCTACACTGTAGACCTTGGTTGGTATCCTCACTGACACGGTGGGTTGTGTTAGACGCTACCCGGAAGTACCTTGACTATCCCAGGGTAAGTTGTGCAAGGCCAAGATGGCTTACATAACAGGCAGATATGTACAAATACAAGATATGATTCATTTGACTGAAAAAGCTTGCTCTCTCTCCTGTGAGTATATGTATCATCTTGGCACCTCCCCCCCGCCCCCCTCCCCTCCCTCACGCCCATGGAATGTTCAGTACTCACACCCATGGCATGCTCAGTACTCACGCCCATGGGGTTTAAGTACACCACCAGCACTAGAGGAATGGAAGCACTAAGGTATCACTTTTCATGCTCATGTAAATTTAATTTTTTGCATGAGCATAAGAAGTGCTTTTTTTGCACAAGCATTTTTTTTTTATCATTATCGACAAAATTTATAAACAATTTTGTCTAATCGAATTTATTCAGGTGTTATTTTCTGTGAGGATGGTGTTCATATCCACTGTAACAACACACAAGAATGAACGAGTTTGTTCATATTCTTGTGTGTTGTTCATGTTCATATTCCTTGCCAGACAGGACAGTGAAAAATGTTGCTCACATTCACTGCCACAAAAGGCAGTGCATGTTGCTGCTCATATTTACAGTCAAATGTTCTCATCTAATAAAAAAAACACTAACCTAAAGGCGAGCCTGTGGCTACACCATCTGATTAACAGTTGCAAATTACAAGAAAAAGGAAAACAGACTTGAATATCAAGCTGAAGAAGCTTTTTTAATACAACTTTTGAAACACCAACAACATTATCCCCATTCAATTAAATTAATAATGCAAATATCAATAATTTGTCAAAGAAATATTGTCAAAGAAATGACAATATCTGACAAAGGAATTTGGAAATTTGTCAAAACAATAATGGATTCCTTGTCAAACTGAACATAATTTTGAAGTTGGAGCTCAATTTTGAACATATTTATAACAAAATGTATAGGATTTACAAGAGTCAAATGAAGTAAAACTAGTAAACAAAAAAAATTGGACAAATTTTAATGAAAACTACTATTTTAACTTAAATTCTAAATTTCTAAATTTAATTCTAATTTATTCTAATTTTAAATCTAATTTAATAACTTAAATTCTAAATTTACTAGTAAAACTAGTAAATAAAAAAATAGGCCACATTTGAATTAAAATTACGATTTTAACTTAAATTAGGTCAATTTCATGAGGCAGACACACGTCTTAAGGAAACCAGACAAAATACCGAGGAAGGATCCAGACATAGAAACAATATGATAAGAACTTCTGTTAAGTTAATCTTTTAAGTTAAATTAACATTTATCGTCCCATTTACGATTATGAGTAAATTTTTGTTAACTTTGGTATAATCATTATGTACCTAATTAACATTGTAAACATAATCAGAATTATTCAATATATACATAGATACAAAAATTATTATTCTCGCATGTTTTTTAATCCAAAAAAAAGGTATGATTTTCGAATGTTTTTTTCAGGGTTGAGGATGGCGTCTCCACAACCTTCGCCAAGCCGGCTGAGCAAATACACAACAATGGGACACCGTAAGTCACGGGAACACCAGCCTTGTGCACCCCTGCCATTAAGCTCACTTTCTGCTTGATTCAACCACCGGTGATTCCCTTTTTGTTCTCACATTGCTGTTGCTGTTTCAGACCTGCCGTGCAATGGTGTGTGTGTGTGTGTGTGTGTGTGTGTGTGTGTGTGTGTGTGTGTGTGTGTGTGTGTGTGTGTGTGTGTGTGTGTGTGTGTGTGTGTGTGTGTGTACTTACCTATTTGTACTAACCTAGTTGTGCTTGCGGGGGTCGAGCTTCCGCTCTCTGGTCCCGAATCTCAACTTTCAATCAGCCAATGTCACTCAGTGTCACTCAACTGTGAGTGAAGATGTATACAAACACATACATAGCAGGAATACTCAGTTTTCGAGAAATGCAAACGCATACATAGTAGGAATACTCATGTTTTCGAGTATACATTCATTCTCAACTTCACTTGCTACACAGTCACACACATGCACGTAATTTCACCCAATTTATGCACTATCTTGTTATCTCTTTGTATTGGCTAAACAAAGGCATGAATAATATGGATCATTCTCCATAAATTACTATATTAATTTTCACATTGGTGACTATGTATGCAGTGCCGCACCCCCCTCCCCCCATCCTCCCTCCACGGTTCATTCTGAAACTTCTTAAAGATCACTTAGTCCTCACAATAGATCTATAGGTAGACATGACGTTCTTGTAACCTCTTTAATATGTGCTGGCACCTCGCTTTCAAATCGAGGCCAAAATACCTGTACGAAACATGATATGGGACACCTGCTGCTCGTTTCGTGTGTTCTGGTTCTGTTGGGCCGGAAACCTCAGACCCTTCCCTCTCCGTTCCGTTCCGGTGAACGGAACGGAACGCAAAGGATCTTTGCGTTCTTCTCACTGGGTCGGGAAAGAGCATCTCCATTATCGGCTGTTCTCCTTCTCAACAGTTTCTAGCTGCTTGCCAAAACTTCAAGCTTGTAAATCTATTCTAAATTAAGTCCTTTATGTATATATATATATATATATATATATATATATATATATATATATATATATATATATATATATATATATATATATATATATATATATATATTTTTTTTTTTTTTTTTTTTTTTTTTTTTTTTTTAACAATAGGGAAGGGAGTACCACCTCTGGCTGGAAGAAGGGGGACCCATAGCCTCGGAGGAAACCACACATAACGCATTGGAGGGAATGTGGGTCCCCTCCAATACAGTTTCTGTGTGCTTTTCTCCTACCACCCCTTCCCTTTTTTCTTTTTTTTTTTTTCCTTTATTGTGTATTTAAAGGAAATATATGTCCCATATATATATATATATATATATATATATATATATATATATATATAATATATATATATATATATATAATATATATATATAATATATATATATATATATATATATATATATATATATATATATATATATATATTATAATGTAGCAGAATTCATGTAAAAAATGACATTTTTGTTTATGTGAATTTTCTTACTAATGCTTGTAGTATATGCAGACGACCAGTCATAATAACGTGGCTGAACATGAGAACTAAACCACACACCCGAAGATGAGGAGACAGCAGCGTTTCGGTCCGTCTTGGACCATTATCAAGTCGATGGTCGATCATTATCAAGTAATCGACTTGATAATAGCCCGGGAAGGACCGAAACATCGTCGTCTCCTCTTCTTCTAGTGTGTGTTTTGGTCATCACATCTTATAGTACATGCTTCAGTATGTTGTTTAAGATTGACTACCTGGAAAAAAAAGTTCCAAGTAGCACGGGCTATGGTGAGCCCGTAGTATAGTGCTTCAGTAGTTACTGATACGACTAACACAGTCCCGCTTGTCTTCCATATGTAGTTAGTTGACTGTGTTGGCCTTTAATAACTCTTATGGTGTCTTGACACGAATATCCTTAAGTTCTTGTTATATATTTGCGTGCGTGTGTGTGTGTGTGTGTTCTGTAGACTTGTTAATTATCAGTGGTTGTTGCTAGTGTTAATATACTGATCACAGAACACACAAACACACACACATTATATATATATATATATATATATATATATATATATATATATATATATATATATATATATATATATATATATATATATATATATATATAATTAGCTTCTTTATAAATATTTCACAATAATTTTAATAAAATGCATCAAACTTTTTATCAATAACTCGTGTTGCTATTTAATATTTAACTGAACCAGCAAATTGAAATGTCAGGACCAGGAATCAGGGGGATCATTTTTACCCAATTGAAAAAGCCTGCAGAAGCGCCATAAAAGGAGCACCATAAAAAGTACTAGTATTAAAAGACTTAGCCATAAAAAAGCACGTGTTAAATGAGGCACAGTGGAATATTCCCGGCCCGATACAGCACCTTTTGAAGCGGAGTTACAAATGGTTACCAATTAATAATGGTAATCCCAGTTGAGATTAGTTTTTTGGGTGGGAATGGAGGTAGCTCCACCGGGTTCCACATGCCTCTAGTAATGGCAGTAACCGAGAGGTTTAAGAGCCAAAGTGACTCGTTTGACACGGGTGTATGCCTCCCCACAGGGTACCTCTCCCGTTGGGTATCGTGGTCTGGGACTATCGTCACTCCTCCAGGTTCCCCCTCCAGGAGCTCACCTAGTGAGGGCCTGTCCCTCTCCCCACAGCCTCCAAGAGCCTTCCAGCCGAGGTCGAGAGCATCCTCCAAGGCTTCTAACATGTCGGAGAAGACACCAGTGGCGGTGGGTAATGTCAGAGTTTTAAGATGTGAATGATTTGGTGTTGTCTTGCCTGTAGCTCATTTTCTATCTGGAAATTTAGACTATTATTTTATATTATCCTAACTAAACCTTCCACTTCAATCGCTTTGCTTTTTATCTCATATGAATGTTCATTTTCTGTTCTAATACTGATCTTCCTTCCAGTTCATTGCATTGTATGTTGCATACATTACAGCAGCTTTGTAATGTGTGAATACCTGTGATGTATTTTCCCCATGCAACAAAGCCAAAAAGGGATTGTTCCTGCCATTAATGCTTCTTCCCTATTTCACTTCTCCTTGTCTCATTCTTTACTTCTTCCTGGGTCACATTTCACGTATTTCTATCTCACTTATCCCCCTCGCTCTTCCCTACTTCCTGTTCCTCTCTTCACTTCACTCTTCACCTCCACTAATCCTCCACCATTCACTCACCATTGTCAGAAGGATGCACGTACACGATGCACGTGTGTTACGTGCACTTGGGCCTAGAAGCACGCGCACCCTGCCTCTAATGTTTACATGAGCACGTGGCGTAACCTCTTCAATATATCAACAAACAACAGCTGATTCTTTACAAGAGCACATGGCGTGACTTATTCAACATATCAACAAACAACAGCTGATTCTTTACAAGAGTACGTGGCGTGACCTGTTCAATATATCAACAAACAACAGCTGATTCTTTATAAGAGCAAGTGGAGAGGCCTCAACTGATGCAACAACATGTTTTCAGAGTTTCACCGACCAGTGATCCTGAAGTAACTGGAAGTTGGTGTTCCAAGGTTGTTGGAATGGATCCATGAGGAAGAATGGTTTTTGAGAAGAAAACCAATATAAAGATGGTGTCATGATATGTTTATGACCAGTGATAGTGGTGCTTGCTACTGATGGTAATGTTTGCAAGTGTGATGTTATCTAGTGAGTGTGATGTTATCTAGTGATTGTGGTATTGTAGCGGGTGAGATGATAATGAGGATTGAACTGATGATAACTACAAAAGGAATTCAAACAGCAGAGGGAATTCATGCCAGGTTGTGTATAGAGAGTGCCTGGTAGAACTGGTTGGGTAAGACACATATATGAAGAGACGTTTATGTCTTATCTCTGTTTGGAATGTATATTATGTTGACTTATATCACTTTTTTTTTGGTAAGCTTTCTTGTGTTTATCACTTGCTTAAACAAAATGACTCCTTGGAGTAAATCTGTTTTCTTAAGATGCATGTTTTGAGTGAACGTGAAAATTTATTGTACTTTTTTGTCAAGGATATCATGCTTCTAGGTAATTATATATACTTGTGGAAGTCACTATTTCTGTTAGTCTGTCTATCTGTTGCCTCTCTCTCTCTCTCTCTCTCTCTCTCTCTCTCTCTCTCTCTCTCTCTCTCTCTCTCTCTCTCTCTCTCTCTCACACACTCTCTCTCTCACACACTCTCTCTCTCTCTCTCTCTCTCTGTTATTACTAACATGTATATATGCAAATGAAGGTGGAATTAGATTACTAAGAGTAATCTTCTATGTCCATTGGCAATTAACTTCTACCTTAATCACCTCCGGTCCATTAATCTATCATCCACTGCACATTGTTCTGTCAATCACTCGCCGTTTCGTCATCAAGAGTTGCCAACGTAATCATAATATTTTTATTTTTAACTAATTCCATGTAAACAGAGTTAGAAAAACTGCATGTAAACACAGTTACGTTTACACTATTGTGAAGCAAACAGATAATTATAAATTTATCTAAATTTTGCATATGAAGATATATATATATATATATATATATATATATATATATATATATATATATATATATATATATATATATATATATATACACACATTCTATAACAGGCTGAAGATTGTAAGTAAATCCCAGAAGGCAGGTTGATGTGACTTGGACCATTAGGGTCCAAATCCTGGGCCAGGATATTATTATGGCGAGATTGTGACGTGAAACACCGGCATATATGGTGCATATACCATATATAAAGCGAAGGTTTATCACCTATTATTGGTTAGGAAAGGATAGGATTGGTTAGGTTAGGAGAGGTTGGGTTAGGGTTGGGTTAGATTTACTTAGAAATGTAGTGATGACAGAGTGGTGAAAATGTTCTCAGGTCCTAGACCCCGATCACATTGACTGGCTGGGAGAGCATTGAATTCTGTGAAGGAATACCTTATGGCCGAGAGGTCGAGGAGGAGGAAGAGATTCCTAAGTGGGTTGGTGCTTAGTCCTGTTCCTTACTAACTTCAGCATTTTGTGTGAGTCAGTTCTTCAGTCCTAATACTTGGTGATGACGCCAGACTAATGCGAAAGATCAATATGAATGCTGACGGCAGGCAGAGCACTTCATGATGACTGATCCAAATTCAGAGCTGATTTAGAGAAATGGCTACTGAACTTAAACCCAATTTGGTGCAATGTTATAATATTTAGAGGAAGCTGGAATGAGATCTGTATTACAATATACAATGAATGGGCAACACCTCTCGCAGTCAGAACAATATAAAGAACTAGTAAGTTGACCAGACCACACACTAGAAGGTGAAGGGACGACGACGTTTCGGTCCGTCCTGGACCATTCTCAAGTCGACCATTCTCAATCGACTTGAGAATGGTCCAGGACGGACCGAAACGTCGTCGTCCCTTCACCTTCTAGTGTGTGGTCAGGTCAACATACTTTAGCCACGTTATTGTGACTCATCACCTGCATAAAGAACTAGTAGACCATAGCAGCATACTCAAAGATAACAAACACAAAGGCTACTCTTAGAAACATAAACCAGATGACTTTCAGAGGACAATGTGAGAATATTTAGGCCTGGCATGTAACCCTAGCCTAAAGAAGCACAGAACCAAACTAAAAAAAATACAGATGTTTGCTACTAGTCTGGTTTAATTTCTGAGGGAATAAACCATGAAGAAAATCTGAAAGAACTTGGCTATACAACGCCAGAAAAGAAACTGGAGAAAGGAGACATGATCGAGATATTTAAGATTATGAGACTGATTGAGAAGAATGATTGGGGGAAAGATGTTTAGGAAAAACAATAGGAGAATAACTGGAAACTAAGAAAAGTCGAAGGGATAGAAAGAAACTCTTCGTCAATGAAAGAACTGGAAGCAAGAAAAGTGAATCAGATGGAAGAGATATATCTTGAGGTTATCTTGAGATGATTTCGGGGCTTTTTAGTGTCCCCGCGGCCCGGTCCTCGACCAGGCCTCCACCCCCAGGAAGCAGCCCGTGACAGCTGACTAACTCCCAGGTACCTATTTACTGCTAGGTAACAGGGGCATTCAGGGTGAAAGAAACTTTGCCCATTTGTTTCTGCCTCGTGCGGGAATCGAACCCGCGCCACAGAATTACGAGTCCTGCGCGCTATCCACCAGGCTACGAGGCCCCTCGTAGTTAACATAGATAGTTAACAAGAACTCCATAAACAGATTCAAAGCGCAAAAGGTAAAGGAGAAAATGTAAACATTGCATCAGAAGATCCCAAACTGAAAAGGTGGAGACGAGGAGCTGAAACTAAGACTATATGTGCATGGTAAAACCCCCTCACGTTTGAAGAGGGTACGCTGAACATACAGCTTGGGCCTCACACGCGGGAGGGACAGCGGTTCAAGTCTCCTACAGCCCAGGTAAATGGAATGGAGACATGATAATGGAATTTTAGGCTCTAATGGGCACTGAATGAGTAGCCAAAAATAAACCCCAATCATAAGGAGCAGGAAGAAGGGACATGGATGATGGAGAACAGCAGGAAGAGGAGGAATGGACGACTAATTAAATTAATAAGAAGATAAAGTGGCTAGGAAACACTGGATTGAAGGACCGATAATATAAAAACCAGGGCTCAAGAGCTAACGCCTGACGCTGTAAGGACAGTCAGGAGAGTCGACACAAAGACTCACCCATCCAGCAGCGTCCATCACACCTCACAAACCCTTAGACTTAACCCAACTATCCTCCCGGAAGTCACACACACACACACACACACACACACACACACACCTATTTACTTATTAATTATAACCTCATTATTAAAACCTCACTTCGAATTAAACCTCACTTCGATTGAGGGAATTAAACCTCACTTCGCTGGAAGACAGAAGAGTTAGGGGGGACATGATCACCACATTCAAGATTCTGAAGGGGATTGATAGGGTAGATAAAGACAGTCTATTTAACACAAGGGGAACACGCACAAGGGGACACAGGTGGAAACTGAGTGCCCAAATGAGCCACAGAGATATTAGAAAGAACTTTTTTAGTGTCAGAGTGGTTGACAAATGGAATGCATTAGGAAGTGATGTGGTGGAGGCTGACTCCATACACAGTTTCAAGTGTAGATATGACAGAGCCCGATAGGCTCATGAATCTGTACACCTGTTGATTGACGGTTGAGAGGCGGGACCAAAGAGCCAGAGCTCAACCCCCGCAAACACAACTAGGTGAGTACAACTAGGTGAGTACACACACACACACACACACACGGCTCTCAACACACTATCACACTCCACAATATTACCTATCCTGGCCCCTCCCCCTCTACCAAACGATAATCAGGACTCTCTCTCTCTCTCTCTCTCTCTCTCTCTCTCTCTCTCCCTCTCCCTCTCTCTCTCTCTCTCTCTCTCTCTCTCTCTCTCTCTCTCCTCTCTACACGACACACAGCCTAACCATTGACAATGAGTCGTAACTACCCGTCTGCCAATTAGGTGATGGAGAGGGGGGAAAGAGGGGGGTGTGGGAGGGCACATAACCAGCCAATAGTTAACTGTTGTTCACGGCCGTCTGAACGCTCGTTAGGTCGCTCCGGGTGAACTACCCACGCGGAAACTTCCTGGTTTATCACCGAACCCGTGTGATGGTTAGGTAGTTAGTCAAGCCTTTCTTATTTTGCAAGTTTGGAGGTTTGGTGCCTTAGGTACTAAGTAGTTCTCTGTGGGTTTGGAAAATTGGGCAGTTTGGTA